GGGATATCATAATTTTACTGATTACATACATTTATTGAGAATGTATGTATAGATTAATATAACTCTGAACCCCAGAGGGAGAATCCACCAACATTAATAAGTGCCACATGTCTGCAGATCAGTCTTCTGCCACATAACATTTAAATTTGGCTTAAATAAATATAGCATTAGTAGTCATGTTACTTCTGGGGTGATTTGACATCTGGCACTGCCCCAGCAGCATGGGGGACAGAGGTATTGTGTGTTGTCCCTCGGTTCTTCCTTGCCAATGCAGCAAAGAATTAAAGGTCAGCAAGATTTAGAAAAAGTAAGATTTATCGAAAGTACATTTTACAAGAAGATAGGCCATGCTAAGCAAGGCTGCAGTGCTCTGAAATTTGGGAGGTGAAGAGATAAGACAGAGCAGAGTACACCCCAAGGGAGGAGCAGGTTTTCAGCAAGGAGAAGCTGTAACAATGCAGAAGTAGAAAGGTCTGTTAATATTTGAATCATGACAGGAGGTCCTAGATGATCTATATGTGAGGTCACCTTAACTGACAGTTGGTTGCTATATAATAACACTTTGCCTACTACGCATGTGATTACTCAGAGTTCAGTCTGTTGTAATTAGATTCATGAACTTCCAGGCATAAACATAGTATTATAATGAAGCTTAAATTGTGGGCAAATTAGGGTAGTATTTCTGTGCAGGCATCTGTAGCCAGATTAGGTCAGCTAAGATTATGACCCTCCTTTCCTTTTCCTCTGGGAATGAAGGAGGGATTCTCTAACTACCAATAGTATGTTCTTTGGGCAGTCTCTATTCCTATTCCTTTGTTCCCCCTGTTGCTCATGTCTAACTAGCTACCTAACAGTCAGATCACCATGTATAAAAATCTGAATTGCATTGTGTGGGAGGTTTATGAAATGATGAATGGGAGGTAGGGGTAAACAGTAACCCATGATGCTAGCTGAGCCACTGTTCCAAAAGAAGAAATGCCCTTTTGCTAATTCTGCCACTCAGATGGGGCACATTTTTGCAATAACTCCACAGTTGTGGAGGCACCTTTCTGTAATTCACATAACCATACCATATTGGTAGCAACAACCTAGCAAAACTCGATTTTAAATTGAAATTCCTGAGGTCAATTCAATCAATTAAATAAAAAGACAAGGGTAATGCAATTATGTTACTCATAATGAAATAAAGCTTAATACAATCCAATTTTAGAAATCATCCCGTTTTTTTATAGACCTACAAAAAGTTCAAATATTTAACAATTAATTGAATTACCAGATAAATTTCTCAGCAAATGTTCATTTTGGGATCAAAATCAAGTTTTTGAGACATTATTAATCTAAATTGCTTAAGAAGAGATTTTGCTAGCAGAGACGGTGGATAGGGAATACAGGTGGGAAAGATTACCTACAAATTGTTTCTATCACTACCAGGAAGTTGGGGATACTAGAAATTTGGATTCGATTTCCAATAGACTTGAGAGGAGCTCGGGGATTGAGGACTGATTTCAAAATATGTGGAAATAATAAATATTTAAATGAACAAATGAATAAACTCTTTCTGTGGGGTATGTGAAAACTTGAGTTTGCATTTGGGTTAAACTTCCTTGAAAATCTCGGTAATCAACTATTACCTCAGGGTTCTCTAAAAGCTCCTTTTTACCTGTGTTTTACGTGGCATGTTGCATGTGTGAAATAACTTGATAACAGACTTGGGATATTGGCCTCAAGGAATTCTGGATTTATGTTAGTGTGTAGCATTGTAGCAAACATGTCAGTGGTGGAAAAAATATTTTGAAAGGTATAGAGAACATCTGGAAACCATCATCATAAATATACATATCCAAAAGACAAATGTAATGAAATATTTTAAAGAGATGAAGTGACTAAATAACAAAATCCCAAAGAGAATATATAAAAATGATTAGATGAATTATAAATAATCGATAAATATTCCAAGGTCTCACAAGATTTCAAGGAGTAAAATCTCAATAGTAATCAAGTTTAATATATTGGGAAATCTAGACAGCTAATCTGATACATAGGATGGAACAAGTAGGTTCAAGAACAGATTATTAGAGATTGCTTGAAAAAATAAAAACCATTGAGAAGTTCTACACTTAATAGATCCCAAAGGTAATAATGATGGATTCCTATTTGAGAATAGATTATAAGACATACAGAATTTTAAAATAATTATTCAGTGATATGAATAGGAAAGTAAACTTAAAGTGAAAAAATAATTATTTTTTTTGACAATTTCTTGTAGTGTTCAAGGGTCGGACTATTCTAAAGACAAATATAAGATATTTACTAGATCTAAGTTAGAAAGCAAGGAAAATAGAGTTTGAGTTAAAAAATGTGGCTAGCTATAAGAATCTAACAATGAATGGGAAGTGAGAATATATGAAGATGTAAAGATTCAGTGCCTAAAATTTTTATTTTAATAACAGAGACTATAATCTTTTAAATAAACAGAGGTGAATAATCACATAGCTGAGGTGACTGAAGTGTTTATCTGGAAAGATGAATCTTGGATGCCACCTACCTAAATATGATACACACACCTGAATGAAGGGAAGATAGGACCCTGGGAAATAAGACAAGAGTAAAGAAGGAGGTTAAAGACCATGTTCAGAGATATAATATGAAGAAATAAAAGTATTTCACTCATCGAAGATAAACAATAATGAGATGAGAATAAAATGAGGAGTTTCTGACTTGAGGGACTAGAAAATTAATATAGGGAATCAAGAAGATCACTATGATGTCTACCACTATTAGAGTCAACGAGTGAAAGGAAGCATATATATCCTGAAGGAAAAGATCACTGCCTGGACACACTTCAAATTGTAAATTCAATTTAACTTACTCCCAAAGTCATCATTAAAGTAACTTACTGAATGTCACAAGACATTTTATACTTTCTTCAATAACTTCAAGAAATATCTTTTAAAATTAAAGATTTAAAAAATAACTTAAACATATGATCAGCCAATATAAATTTTTTTCTTTAAATATAATTCAGATCGACACAGTCATCTACATATTCCATATTCCAAGTTAATGAAATTTTTGAGAAGAAACTACAAAGGGCTCAGCAATATTACATAATGTGATCAACCTTAAAATCAAGTTTTTTTTTTTACTAAAGTTATGTACTTTACTACCCTTACATAAATTTGGATCATAATGCTAGACAAAATAATAATTTTATGCTTTTATCCATCTTCACAGTAGGCAAATAAACAGTGCATCGTTAAAATCATATTATCTCATCTTTTGTTTAAACAATTATTCTATGGTTTCTGTGATCATTAGATGCAAGATGCTTCTAACAATAACCTCTGTTAATAAGGATAATTCTCTTTCTAGGAATATACTGTAATTTTCTATGTATGGGATTATTTTAAAGAATAAAGAAAATCTGTCACTATGGAAGCAAATTAGTTCCTAAGCTTTAGAGGCTTTTCTAAGTAATTTGTTCTCAATAACTTGGAAAGTATGTCAAAAAGTTAGAGAATTCATATTTAAATAAATTTTTACAAATAAACCATTAAAACAAAATTTAAAGAGAGAATACTTGAGAGATGTTATGTAAATCAATAAACTGTAGCAAATAAAAAGACTAATAATGAAATAAAATACAAGAAAGTAATTGTTTTATTGTAATGTATTTTCTTCATATTTGGAGGAATATTTGCACTCACTGTTCTTACATAAGCAAAAGTGATATAGAAAATTTAATATCATCACTAGGTGATTGTTACTATATTACTGCCCCAAATTACATATGAAAGTCAATTAAGATCATATATAACATGGATCCTTACGTGAAATTCAAGTTGTAGACTACATGTCCTAACTTCCTTTATATAAACAAGATGCAATTTGAATAAAAGTAATTAAGAGCACCAGTATCTGACTCTTTCCTAATCTTAGCCATAATTGTTAAGTTGTTTCTAAATATCATTTAATGTAAAAAGAGCTGACAGAAACATGTTTAGAACAAGCTAATAATCTTAGTTTGTGTGTAAGAAAAAAATAACAATGTTGATCATAAAAATGACTTCTGATTGTATGTATCAAAATCGTCTCTTAGGACAGCCTGATTGAAATAAACTAATACAAAATCCACCTTCTCAGATAACACTATACTGTACTCTAAATATTTTCCAGCACTGACTGTAGTGTACTCTAACTCTCCACAGATGTTGCATATACTCATTTTTACTGTAATTAATTCTAATCACATACACACCCACACATATACTATGGCAGGGAGGGGAACGGGGTGAGAGAGAGAGAAATTTTTTTAAAAAAATCAACCACAAACAAAACAGTAAATTAGGGGAACTTCATTAAAAAAATCTAAATCATGACCTAGGAATATTTTAACCCGAAGCACATCAACACTTAAAAATCAAGTTGTGTGTGTGTGTGTGCGTGCGCGTGTGTGTGTGTGTGCGTGCGTGTGTGTGTGTGTGTAGCATTTTTTCTCCTAGATCTTTAAATATCTAGTATTATCTGGATAAATGTCTTTTAGATATCAAGATTAGATGTGATTTTCCCCCCAAATACACAAGTTGCCTTCAGTGTGTATTAGAAAGTATATATTTACTTCCACAAAAACCATGAAATCGCTCTATGCCTAGGACAATGTGCAACTCTATGATGCTTAGCAGACTATATAGCCACACAATTGCTCATTTTCATTGCTTTCAATGAGGCCTGACATCTCACCAGTTTATAGCAGTGGCAGATGACTAGAAAAAGAAAGGTCTCATTTACTAACTTCCTTTAGAAAAGATTTCCTGAAAATTCAAGATTAAAAAAGGGCTTATGAATAATGGAACATACTGCTACACTCAACCAGGTTTTATATCCTTGAAATATTTCTATCATATGGAATAAGTTTCAGAAGTCGCAAATAAAGCAATGCATTTGAGAACGTCTTAACGTAATCACAAAAGTAATGAATATAAAAAATCATTTCTAATTACCTCTGTTGAGTGACGCTGAACTGTTTATATCTCCAGTAATGAAGGAGGATTCTGACTGCTTTCGGACCGTGTCATTCCACATTCTACGAATTCGGCTCTAGAGGGGGAATAAAGAAAAGGAAACTAATTCACCAAGCAGTAAATTTTCACAAAATAATCATTATTTTTCTTTCTTAATTATATGAGAACTTTGTTTCTGGCATCTGGCAAATATACAGTTTCCACATGCATGCAATACAGTAGCATGAGAACATCAGAAACAAAATTAATGATAATTAGTTCTCATTAAGCATATCCTTATATATTTAATGTAAATGCCTATACCCAAAACAATAATAATTATAAAAAAGAGTAGATATAACATACTATCCCAATTCAAACTTGTTGAAGGTATATAGAAGTGCATGCTAGACAGTTAGAATGTAATAATTTTAGTTTTCAAGGTAAAACAAATTACTTTCATTGTAACTTTAATGGGAAAGAGATATTTTACATGCATTAAATTATCAGTTTTATTAACAAAATATTTAGTTCAAGATTCAGAATCTTGCAAGAAAGCTTTTGGTAAGAAAAGAACATAGAATATTATTAAAATGCTACTGAATTTTATTAACATTTCCATAAATTTGTACGGAGACCAATGTAATTTTATAGATTACATATAACCTTGATTTTTCTTTCTTTTGAAGGAGATAAAGGAAGTTGATTCACCCTTATTTATCGTTTCAAAATAGGAAGTTTTATAAATAACTAGACATTCTTATATAATATATACTCTCAATATTCTAAGTGCGGGATAATTCAAGAAAGCAACGTAATATTTTTCCATTTGTGAAGAGATTGGTTTTTTGAGTTTATGCTGTTTTGCTATTATATTAAGTTCAGGATCAAAAGAGTATTGACAATCCTGTGAGGAATAAACAAAATATTTCCAGAAACTTTTCCCAGGATGAAATAGTCATAAGAACTATTACTAGTACTAATGGTGAAACGAAGCTCACAAATAGGTTACATTCCAAATATATTTGAACTTTATGAATAATAGAAGTGCCTAAACTTAAAATTGGTTTTAGGACTCTTGGGAGATGTTTATCCTTCAGAAATATTGTCTATATAACAATATAGGTTATATAGGTCAGCAAACACACAGACACAGTAAAACTAATAAATAAAAGCAGAATAAGAAAACTGGTACAGGATTATAGGTCCTGAGAACTTAAGAATGTCTGTATTGAAAAAATACTTCAAAGCTTCAGATTGAAATACTGGTAACAAATCTCTCACATGTGTTTTTATTAATTCATTAACTAAAATATTAATTTTCTATACTATATGCCAAATACTAACTGGGGAAATACAAAGGAGAAAGGCAAACACAGGATGTCTTTGCTTCATGGAGCTGCTATACTAGTAAGTGAGAAATCAATCAAATCACAAAAATAAATGCAAAAGTATAATAATGTGCACACAAATCTCCATAGAAGCATTAGTTATTATAACTTAAAACTGCAAACAACTCAAATGACTATCAATGGTAGAATGGATGAATAAATTATAGAATAATAAACAGCAATGAATAAAAAAGCAAAATAGTCCCCTGCAGCAACACAGATGTTCAAAGAAAGAAAGAAAACAACAACAAAAACCCCAATATGTTCTAGACGCTTTCACGCGAATAAGTGTCAAACATGTGCAAAACAAAATGTAGTGTTAAAAGTTCAGATAGTGGTTAAGATTGGAGGCGAATACCTAAAAAAAGTTCAAAGGGTGTCTGAAGTATGCACAATATTCTTATTTGACCTGAGGAGAGATGATAACTCACTGTGTCATGCACTTAAATTTTATGCACTTTTGTGAATGTTTGTTATACTGCATATCTAAAAAATAGTTTAGAAACTGCACATAAGGGGATGTCTTTGTCTAGAAACTGAGAACATTGCACTGAAGTGACATCTTAAATGAGAGTTGATGGAATTGTCATCTTGTTAGGTGACCTTTATATGACCTACTCTCATTATCGCATCTTCTATTAGTGTCTTCTACCTGGGCTAGCCACACCTGTTCCCTTGCTGTTCCTTAATACAGCAAGCATGCCTCTGCCTTAGAGCTTAGTGTACTTGTTTCCTCTGACTGGAGTGCTCCTTCCTCAGATATAGGTATGAGTAACCACTTCATCAATTTTAAGGTTTTACTCGTACATTTTCTCCTTAAAGAGACCTAACATGACCGCTATATTTAGAATTGTATTCCTTGCCCCTAACTCTACTATTACCTCCCATAGATATTACCATTTCCTATAATACTGCACATTATAATAATGTATTTATTTTTTTGTACTTAATGTTCAATATTTAATGTCTAATATGTGTATTATATTTGAAGGTCAGCAAAAACAGAATGTTTGTCTTTTTTTCTCACTGATGTATCACACACCTGAAATAATGTCTGGTACACGGTAAATATTATACTTATGTATATATAATATATTGTATATATGTATTGATTCTTTCTGTGTTCTAGGTTCTATATCATGTATTTTTCGTGTATTCAGTCACTGAAACCTCACAAGAACTCCTTGAGGTAGGTACTCTTTTATTCATTAGAAAACTGAGGTTCAGAGATTAATTAACATGATCAATGTCACAGACCTACTAAGTGGCTTAACCAGAATTTGAATTCAGTCATTTGGCTTCTGATCTAGGAGGTTAACAACTCACTCTACTATATCAAATAATAGTTGAATAGGAAGAAGAGGAAAGGGAAAAGTATTGCAGGCAGAAGAAAAATATATAGTATGTAGCATAGCACTAACACTTAAAACTTCATAGAACAAACCAGGATGAATCTTAGAATATGGGGGTGAAAAAAGTCACAGAAGATTACATACAGTAAGATCCCATTTTAAAGAAAGATTTTTAAAAGCATACTAAACAACATGTTTTTAGGAGGTGAAAATACTAGAATAAGTCAAGGAACTAAAGAACAAAAGTTTGGAGGTTTATTCTGGTGGAGATGTGCAGGGATTAATTAGGGAGAGGTTGTAAGAAGGGGACCACTGCACATTGTCCATGAAGTAGCCATATCATTTTTATTAGATGTGAATGCTATCTTGTCACTTCCTATTTGAAATCATCAGGTTGGCTTTCTAAAGTAATCAAAATAAGGCCTAACTCACATACTCTTACTAACACCTACGGATCTGTCTTTAGCCTTCTCCTTTGGCTTCATATCCTATTTACTCTCTCATCTACTTTAGCCAATATCCTTTTATTCTGGAATTTGCAAGTTCTCTCTTACCTGAGGACTTTGCATTAGATGTATTGTCACTTGGAATTTTCTTCCCCTGAACTTCCTTCCTGTCATTCAGATTCTTGGCATAAATATCATCTTCCAAAATTGTCTTTCTCCAGCACTTAATCTAAGAAGCCGCCTGGACTTTCTGTATCACATAGCCATACTTGGTTCGTTACTAGCTTTCATAATCTGATATTTTTTGTTGGATCATTGGTTTGTTACTAAATTTTCTATATTCCACAACTAGAACTGCAGATTCGGATTTAAGGGAAATTATTTTTTATTTAACCATTATATCTCCAGAACTTGGAAAACTGCTTGGCATTATATGGAAGAAAATATTCCTCGATAAAAAGTAAAAAAATATGAGAATTATTATTTTAGAAATTCTCTGATGTGATAAAGGCATCTATACTCTCAAAATTTTTTCTTAATATCAGTATTTTATACTTTGCTTATGAAAGGTCACAGTTAATATGAAGCACATTTATTATTTCTACCTAAATATACTGGATTTAAGTAACTATTATTTTTTTTTAATTGGATTGCAACAGTTAACCAGAAATAGTATTACATTAAAATTAAGAAGATAATTTGTTTTCCCCCCAAAACTGGAATTGTGATGTTACAATTGTAAAAGTGAAGAAAAAATGATACAACTTAAAATATATATCTGAAATAATGAACCTAATAAATGGGAGTTGCTCCAATTTATTAAGCACCCCTGATTTGTCTTAAGTATATTGTTCATGATTATTCTATTAAGCTGCATTGTTGTTTAGAAGTATCACTAAACACTGTAAACCTCTGTTATAACATAATAAATGAAACTCTCAAATATTACTGTTTCGTTAGGGGCAAATTTCAATAAAATGACTATAGGATAATGGCTGTGAGCTCTGTTATGTGAAAAGCATGCAGGAACTAATTAAGCTGGATGGTATATAGAATTTCAATAATTTTAATTTAAAAGTTGTGGGCAAAATAATTACAAAAAAGGGAGGTGAGGATTATGAGATTGAAACTAAAAGCATAGATTATAAGGGGCTCATGATGGAAGCATCATTCATGTGTGCTCCTACTATGATGTAAGACTTCAGATTTCTAATTGACAAATTTAGTAGTCCTAAACTCAGAAATCTCAACCCACCCAGTTCATACATCCATTCCCCTAATTTGCAAATTTTCAACCTCAGGAAAGCATAGAATCAATAAAATAAATCAAATTCAAATTATTAAGAATTGTTTATTATACATAGGAGTAAGTTTTATGATCATAATCATTTGTTATTAACTTAAGCAATAAGATAGTCTAATAGGTTTGACAGTTAATATGTTGATTTTAAAATTTTTAGTTGTAAATATTAGATTTATATTAGATATGTGGTTTTATCTGTAAGATAAAAGAGAATCCATTAGTTTGAGAAAAGTATTTGTTTATACATTATTCATTATCTTTGATTTATAAGAGTTGTTCAAGTGCTAGTTAGGTGAATACAACTCTCCAATCTGACAGTGGCTGTGTTTGAGAGAATCATATATATTAAATTTGTAAATGATATTTAAGAGTTATGAGAATATTTAATTTTCTAAGCATATGAATGGAATCGTTCAGGGGAATTTAATGTTAAGTTTATAAGCCAATTAAGCATTAATCAAAGAACAAATACAGTGATCTTTCTTACATTATATAAAATTATCAAATTCACCAAAATAGATTTATAGATTGAGCTAAAAGAGTTAAGAAAAAACTAAGTTCTCGATTTATAACTTTATTAGTTTAAATTCAAATCTTCAGAAAAGTTCAATTGATAACGCTCAAAACATAGTTGTTTTCCCACTGAATCATGCGATCTTAAAATTATTAGTTTGCTAGTCTGAACCCAAACTCATTCATGACCCACAGAATCCTATGTCTTTTATTTGACTGGATCATTTTAACATCCTGAAGTTGGTGAAATTTCTATGTAATAATCTTTGGACTGATACTGTTGCCTGGGAAAAATGACTGACAGGTGCCTCAAAGTTTATAATTTTGCTGGTAAGGAACCATGCAGCTACTCTAGTGCTGGTCTGGTGGGAGGGAGCACTTATACTAGTTTAAAAAAATAATGCTGTTATGGTATCCTACACTGCCCTGACTTGTTCTTCAACTAATCAGCAGATGATATGGTATGAATTATAACTGCTTTTACTAAACAAACTATTTAATAAGTAAATATTTTCAGTATGTGATAGAGAATTATTACACTGGTTAAAAGAAGCAATTAACTCGAGAATCACATATATTAAATATTACTTTCTTAGAATTTTGAGTGAAGTGCCAAATTCCTTTCCTTACCTCTATACTCATTCACCTGAACCAATCTGAAATCATTTCACAAGCTTAGACCCCACATTTCATAATTTTATTGCAATTTGGTTTCTTAAATTTCTTTCCTAATCATTCCCATTTGAGACACACTAAAGCAAAAACAACAAATCTGAAATGTTAAACAGGATAGAAAAGAGAGCTGATTAAGAAAGTAAAGAAAGCCATACCAAAATATAGGTAAAATATATTTCATTTTAATTAGCAAATATTGTTTACCTGTGAGCCTGTGGAGTAGCGTCCAGGAGTTCGAGAACCAGATGTTTTCCCTGAGCCAATGGAACTCTCTGTACTTTTGCCACTACAACAATGTGTTCTCAGGCATTTCCCGTACTCTTTGCGTACCTAGCCAATTAAATATTAAGTTCTGTTAGCAAGTAATTCATTTTAGCTGGGAACTATGGTATAAAACATATGAGTTTTATTTTTAGATAATTCATATAATTACTTCCTTGCCCTACGGATCTAAAAAAGCCGGTTCGGCATATTTTTACAATGTAAAATAATAGCATTCATACCATCAAGCTTGAAATTTTGTATGACTGGAGGCTTTTAACGCGTGCACACATACTCACACATACACACACACACACACACTCACACACACACACCTAATCGAAGCTCTTAGTTCAAAGAAAAAAAATGACTCTTCCAGACACTATTTTTAGTTTCATAAATTTGATATTAAGTAGCCTATTGGTACAATTGTCTTTAGGTAGAAGCCTAGTGAGGAAGTTACAGAGAGAACAGAGAATGAAGAAAGAGAGGAACAAGGAGGGAAAGAAAATATTTAGATCAAAAAAAGAAATAGGTTGGGCTAAGCATTTCTTTTGAATTTACTTTTTTGAAGTTTATTTCTCTTATAAAAGATCAAATTTGCAACTTCAGAATATAAAATTCAAAATTTATTTCCTCAAAATAGTTCTATTCAATAATCACAGAGAAATGTGATTGCTTTTATAGCATCACTGATTAAATTCTTAATCCTTGTTATAGTACAAAATCACAGGGGAAAAAGACATAAACATTTTTTAGTTGTGTTTTCAAACAGGAAACTATGTCAACAACTTAGGGGAAAACTTGTATCATATTTAAAATTTTTATTCCCACCTATTTAATCAAACAAGATATATAAAAAGAAAATAAAAACAGTAACTGCCCTAAATCATACCTCCGCTACCAACGTCAACATCAACAAAAATAATCCCTAACTATGTGTTCGTTAACTAAAAACACATTCTGGGACATCTTACTGATTATACGTTCACAAATTTATATTCGTTATGAAATAACACTGAATATATCTTATTCTTAGCTTTTTATACACTTATTTCACATGAGCTCCTACTTGCCACAATTTCTGAAAATGTAATATTCCAATGTAATTTTATTTAAAACAAAGCTATAAATATATACTTTTTCTGAGGAATGTTATTAAGAATCAAAAGCAAAAAAAGTGTGAATGATACATTAAAATTAATATTCAAGACAAACCTATCTTAATGTTATAAAAGTTCATTCTACTAAAGATATAGCAGAATCAGAGATAGAATATATTCAGATTTGTTTGAAGAACTCACATATATTGAAAGATTATTATGTGATAGAAACAATGATATAGAGTCAGGAGAATCAAAGTATGAAAACGGAGTGCTTGCTGCAAGTAGGTAGAGGGCCAAGGAAGCTTCTCAGAGAAGAGGACTTCTGAAAGAAGCTTCAAAAAATAGGTTGGAATTAGTCAGTTTAAAGAATAAAGTTGAAAAAAAGGATAGACAAGAGAGAAAAAGTCATTCTAGGTAGTCAGGACAGTGAGGAAAATAGAGAGGCATGATGTGCTAACCTTTGAGGACTTTCTTTGATCTGAAATGCCAAATTATATATTCTTTTCAATATATTTAAAATTATATTATATTGATCTGTTTTATAACCAATCTCATTTATGGTATATTTATCAATAATTAGAAATAATTACTTTATTCAGTGTTTATAAGCCAATTCATATTTTGTTTATTTTTTAAAAGAAGTAAGTCTGTACCCACTTGTATGAGTTTCCACAATATGTGTGAGTTTGGGAGTGTGGAATAAAAAAGCTTCTAATGTTTAATCATTAATTGCTAGAAATTTTGCTAGGCCTCTCTCTTAAAATGACTCCGGGATATAATTATTACCTATATTGTACAGATAAGAACACTGAAAAGGTTAAGTAATAAACATAAACTAAAAGACTGAAAAGGTTAAGCAATGTTTTTTATGTGGACAAATCCAAATCTCATGGGTGCTCTATGATCAGAAAGCTCTTTTTAAGATGTCGCATTTCACATTTCTAACATTAACATATGACCAAACAAGGCATTATATATTATTAACATTATTATTAAAGTAATCTATTAGGTTATTTCTTTCTCTATATCTGGAGAAGATAAGGACAAATGTTTTAATTAGATTCAAGAAAGCTTATAATAATCTCTACCCAAAGGTAGGCACTATCAATTACAGTTTTGTAATTTGCACTGAGTAAATGAAGCACGCCAAAAATCTAAGCTTTGATCATAACTTACATCCTACTTGTTTTTCCTAATATCCTCATTAGGGGATATTTTTCTTTTTAAAAGAGAAAGTGTCTTTTAATAAAGTGATTTAAATCTAAACATATTTCAGGAGACACAGAGAAGAGAAGAGAAAAGAGAGAAGAAGGAGAATGAGAGAGAAGAACTTCCTTTCCAGTTAAAAGGCAGCAATATTGTATAAGCCATACCATGGACTATTTACATTTTCCAACAAAGGTTAAATGTTATGAACTGATTATAAAAACAACCAGCAAATCAAGATACCTGGTGATAACAAGTCCTACATTAAGCTATATTACTTATTGGACCATGTTCATGAGATTTCTTTTTTTTAGATTTCAATAAAAGTTATTTGACTGTTCAGTCATTTGCATATTCTAATCCACTATTTCACATGACATTGCATCTTATTCCAATCAGATATAATATCTTATTTCAATGTGAGATTGTCTTATAATAGGAAGATGGAAAAAAGAACATGCCTTACCAATGGAATAATTTTCATACACACATCAAAAATAAGATAATTATGAAATCCTCTGAGTTGTATCACATAATTGAGTGCATATCAAAAGAAAAAGTGACATCTCTAATGTTACCAGTGGAAATACCATTGATACAATCATGCAATCGACACTCAGAAATAAACAAAAACAAAAACTGACAACTTAAAGTTTTATATTTATTAATCAGTTGAATCAATCAACTAGTAACCATATAAACCAAAATAACTCAAAAATAGAATGCTTCATATTTCTCCAATGAAAACATATAAGCAACTGCTAATTCAATCAGATGGCTTAAGAAGGTTCTCCTACAAGATTTATGTTGTTAAAATATCCGTACTACGCAAAGCAATCTATAGATTCAATGTAATCTCTGTTGAAATTCCAATGGTGTTTTTCGTAGACATAGAAAAAAAAATCCTACATTTGTACAGAACCACAAATGATCCCAAATAACCGAAAAATTTTGAAAAAGAACAAAGCTAGAGGTATCACACTTCCTGATTTCAAACTACATCACAAAGATACATTAATACAGTATGGTATTGCCATAAAAATAGACACATAAACCAACAGAGCAGAATAGAGAACCCAGAAATAAAACCTCACACACACGGTCAATTAACATTTGACAAAGAACCCAAGAATATTGAATGGGGAAGGACAATCTCCTCAATAAATGGTGTTGAGAAAACTAGATAATCACATGCTGAAGAATGAAACTGGATCCCTATCTTAACATAACTCACAAAATTTAACTCAAAATGGATTAAGACTTAATTATAAGACCTGAAACCATAAAACTCCTATAAAAAAACATAGGAGAAAAGTCCCTGGACATTGGTCTTAAGCAATGATTTTTGGGGGGTATGACATCGAAATCACAAGGAACAAAAACAAAAATTAATAAATAGGACTACATCAACCTAAAAAGGTTCTATACAGCAAAAGAATCAATCAACAAAATAAAAATACAATCTACAAAATAGAAGAAAATATTTGCAAATCATATATCTTATATGGGGTTAATATCCAAAAATATATAAAGAACTCATATAGCTAAATAGCAAAAAACAAACAATCTAGTTAAAAAAATGAACTTTGGAAACAAATAGTCATTTTACCTAAGACATACAAATGGCAAACATGAAAGATGCTCAGCATCAACTATTAGGAAAACCACAAATCAAAACCACAATGAGATATCACCTCACACATTTTAGAATGGCCATCATCACAAGGACAAGAGATAAGTAGTGTTGGTGAAGATATGGAGAAAAGAGAGCTCTTGTGCACTGTTGGTGGGGACATAAACACTATGAAAAACACTATGGAGGTTAAAAATTAAAAAATAGGACTACCATATAATCTAGTAATCACACTTCTGGGTGTATGTCCAAAAGAAATGAAATCAGGATCTCAAAGAGATATACGCATTCCCATGTTTTTTTGCAGCATTATTCACAATAGATAAGATATGGAAATGACCAAAATGCCCATAAATAAGTGGATGGATAAGAAGATGTGGTGCATATATACAATGCAATATTTTTTTCAGTCACGAAAATGAAAATCCTGCCATTTGCAACAACATGGATGGACCTTGAGGGCATTATGCTAAGTGAAATAAGTCAGACAGAGAAAGACAAATACTGCATGATATCATTTATATGTGGAATCTAAAAGAGCCAAACTCAGATACAAAAGAGAATAGTGGTTACCAGAGGTTTAGGGTAGGGGAAATGGGGTGTTATTGGTGAAAATATACAAACTTCTAGCTATAAGACAAAAAAGTTCTGGGGATCTAATGTATAGAATGATAATTATAATTAACAATACTGTGTTATATACTTGAAAGTTGCTAAGAGAGATCTTAAATGTTCTCACCACACAGAAGAAATAATAATTATGTGAGGTGATGGAGGTATTAGCTAACACTATGGTGGTAATAGTTTCACATCAAAATCAATGTACTATACACTTTGAACTTGCACAGTTATATCTCAATTATATCTCTATTTTTTTTTTAAATAAAAGAAATAAAAGAAATATCTCATAGCCTATCTCTGCAGTTTCACAGAGAAGTACCTGATTTTCTGTAGGAAAAAAAGCAAACGATAATTCCATGTTTTCTGTATTCTCTGATTTGGGGCATGTTTTTAACCAATAAAAATGGCACCAAAATTGAAAAATTCATAACACAGAATAGATGAAAATAATATTATATTACTTGTTATAATAAGTCATAAAAGTAAGCTTCTAATAAGTACTTGGAAAATTTTTTCATGAAAGGCCAGATAGTCAATATTTTAGGCTTTGTGAGCCAAGAGGAAAAACCAAGGATTTTGTGTATATACTTATTTAAAATTTTAAAAGTAACCATTTAAAACTGTAAAAATTATTCTTGGCTGACTGGCTGTAGAAATTAAAGCCAGCTGAATAAATTTGGCTTATGAACTGTAGTTTGCTGAACTCTGTTCTAATGAATCACAAAATTGAGCTTGATGACATATATTATTAAAAGATTCAATTTTATTAAATACGTTAAATATACTAAAAACTCTGGACTCATTTTTGGATATTGAGGGTTAATATCTCTACCTGGATATCAATGCACTTCTTAATTACACCAGTGATGTGTATTTGTAAGACCAGAAAAATAAAAATAATAACTGCAAAAACTCTAATAGGTATTTGGCTAATAAAAAAAACTCACAATTAAAATAATTAATACATAAAGTATAAAAAATATTTTCTGCTATGTACAAAATTTCTGTACTAACATTAGTCCAAATTTCTAGCTAATATATAAAATAAAGATAATAGGAAATCTAGATCACTATATTTGAAGATGTTATAATTGATTATGATATCCTGATATTTCCTTATTTATATGGGCATGCTACTTTTTTCCTTAATCTCCTGATTTCACTCCTATCTTTCTACATATATATCTCTTGACAATCAGTTATGGCTTTCTTCTATCAAAGCTAGAAATCTTTCCTAAGTTCTTAGTCTCTCTGACTTCTTTGAAACGTTTTATTATACTGACCACCGCCTACTTCTGGACATTTTCTCCTATTTTTAATTTAATGTATTGTTTTGATTCTCATTCTTTTCCTCAGACACTCCCTTCCTTCTGTCTCTATTATTATTCATCATTCAGATGTCTTCTACTCTCTATAATCATCAAGTGTGGTATATTACTAGCTGTTTGAAACACCAAGTTCCTCATCTTCTTGGGGTAAAAAGACTGTTTTCCAGTCTTCCTAGCTGTTTAAGTGGTACCATTGATTGTGTTCTATCTAATGGAAAGTGAGCAGAAGTGATGTGAGCTCTTTTGGACCTTTCATAGAAGTTTTTCTCTCCCTTTCTAAGACTGCCTGCTGAATGTCAACATCCAAGGTAACTGGAAATCATATATTGAGGTTGGTTGAACCTTCATCAGCCTGTGTCCCTTCATGGGGCACCCCTATCTACTGGCCGTGAGTAAAACAGTAAACATGTATTGGTTTAAGCAACTGTAATTTGAAGGGTGTGTACACTAAATATTTGGGAAAATTCATCTATTTTAATATAACTTCTTTTCTGTAACCTGAATTTATAGACTAGAGTCATCATTACTATCATTAAAAATTACTAATAGCCTGTATTTATGATCATGTTAACATTTTTAATACCTACCACACATAAAATTGAAATAGAATGAAATTAATCTCATCTTGACAAGTGGACATCCCTTTCCACTTTTATTTTACATCCCATCAGTCTCTCTAACCAAAACTTGTAGAGATAGATGTCTCTACTCTTTATTTTCTTTCTTTTCTAAAGAAAAAATTAGACCTTGTTTCTTTCTTAGAAAAAAAAATTCACATTTTGCCATTTTATTTTTAGAGTCACCTATCAATATCTCGTAATTATTTTTATTATCTCCATGTTACACATGAGGAAACTGGGGCATGAAAAGTTAATTAACTTGCCCAAAGTCCCATAAACTTTTAGGTAGAGAAACTAAGATTTAGTCCCAGGCAGTCTTGGCTCAGGTGTTTAGGTGATCAAAACTATAAGTACCACATTTTCAATAGAGTTAAGGAGTATAAGAGGAGAGAATCAATCTTGAGATTATAAAAATGCAAATGAATATTTTAGGTCTTTGTAGATATAAAAAATCACAAAAATAGACTAGTATAAAAATTAAACATAGCACTGTAATGATCCACTTTATAGAGTTTATGAAAGATGCTTTAAAAGAAAAAAAGTACAGAGACCATTACTAAGTACTCCATCATTTACTCAAAAAAAAATAAATGTTATTTTATCATAAAATGTTTAGATATTTATATTTTCTAGAATATCCAAACTAATTTTTAAGGAAACTGAAAAATATATATTTCCTATGCCATGCCATATATATGTGTGTGTATACATGCACACGTATCACATACATACCATGCCTTCATAACATTTTAGAAAAGCTACTTCCTAATACACAAATTTTACACATCTGCCAATAAAAATATTAAAGACTAAATATTAAATATTAAAAAAAAGTTGAAATCTTCAAGAATATAATTTTTGTACACTGTCCAAATCAAAAAATATTTTGATTTTTTTCTGTTAAACACATTTACCAACTATTATGCTTTAATTTTGTGTCTATTTTGTCTTTACTATTTTAAAAGTCAAATCAGTGAAGTATTATTTCTTAGAGACCAACATATCAAGAATAATTTTGTTATGATTCCTTTGCTATCATTAGATGTATGCCATTTATTCCCGAATAGAGAATTCTGGCTTACCTTCTTTTGTAGGACACAATGGAAAATGAATATAAACATCCCCTGTAGAGAATTGAAAATGGTGAAGAGATACGCCATGATGACAGTGCTTTCATTAATATACATGAGTCCAAAGGCCCAGGTCAATCCTAAGAGGCAGAGAAGAGCTATTGCACCTATAACCCATGACCTGCAGAGAGAAGAAAAAATTAAGGGGTTTCAAATAATCAGTCTTTAATTAACACAATCAATTCATATCAACAAAACTGACACTGAAAAAATGTTACAGTAAGTTTTATTGACAGAAAATGTAAGACAGGTGGCATAAGAACTTTAGGATTTTAATGGGACTACAAATTTTCAAGCTTCAGGAGATATACATGAAAATGTTGTGAACACAGAAATTCAGTTAAGCAAAAGCACAATTGTACTATTAAATTATTCATGTAGTTGTTGCACATATGCAAATGACATGGAGATGTAATTATGGTAATGGCAAGAAAGAAAAATGTCTATAAACTATATTAGTCTCCACTGGTTTCACTGGTACAAAATTTGTTTGATTGGACTTTCTCCTAATGCTTCATCTGATACACCTTTACCCCATTTTTCCTTATTTCCTCTTCTATAAATTTTTTGTGTTTACTGACAAAAACAGAATTCTTATTAGAAGGAATCAGTATATGGAATACATTTTTGGATTTTAAAAGTTCTATTTGTCTGATTCTATAGTTATATAGAACAAGTGTGGGATATAGTGTATGAGAAAAAATAGTTCCACTCTGATATTTCTTTCAGCCTTTGGATTGCTGTCTTCTTTGTTACAATAGATTAGATTTTGGAAATCAGGCACTTGGCAGCTTTGTTGAACAGAAGCTTAAAGGCTCAAGGCATCTTCATCTCTTGGAAGTATCTGTAAACTCAAGGAAAAAATGAAGCTGAAAATGGGGATGGAGTGGTATGAATGAAGTAGTCTAGTATGGAAGACAAATTCTCAGTCTCCATTTCCCTACTTTTCTCTAAGCTGCCAATCTTAATAGTAATAAGCAGGTGACAAAAGTCCATATATTTATGGTTATATGTTATGTATTTATATCAACATAGAATGAATCTTTCCAATAGACTGGAATCCAATAATTGAAAATGGAATCCTTGTCAACTCCTCTCTAAGTAGAGAAGACAATAGGACCAAACCAGT